TCTCACTGCAACAAAAACCTGAAAGAGCAAGAGGGGGGGGGGGGGGGCATTGAGCTGAAACAGAGAAAGGGACAGAGTGTAGAAGTGAGTATGAGGACTATGCGTGGCATGTAAGGTACAGTGTGAGGTGTTTGAGACAGCTGTTTTTTATATCACACCATCAGGCTATATGTTAAAGCCTGCCTGTGTTTTATTTGTGTGTGTGGAAGAATAGAAAAATAACTCCTACTGTCCTCCTAAAAGCAGTGGTGTAGCGATGCACTGCTTCAAATACTGTCAGGTGGTTCATTTCAGTGGTTCAGACCCTATAGGTTGGGAATGAAAGTGCTGCAACACAAATGTTTTCTCGAATATTTGTTTTTTCCGTGACAAATTTGATAATTTTCCCTTTTTGGGTCTTGATTATTTTAATTAAATCATTTCAGCGAGGAGAGGAAATCTTTTTTTGGTGGAATTGCTAACAATCTTGGAATACGTCTGAAACATGACAAGGCTTTTTTCGAAAAGGACAAATCTTTAATAATGTATAATGTAATTGTTTTCTACAAACTAATAATGCGTTTTATTATGTAATAACCCTAATCTGAAGAATAAGTCACTCCCTGTAATCACTCTGATAGAAAGATAAAGGACCCGATTGAAGGAATTAGTATCTTGGCCTGCTAATATAGCATCCACATTTATTGCTGAAAATTGAGTTTTAAAACAATTTAGTAGCTGTTTCAATATTTGCACATGGTCTCAATCAGCACGGAGTGCAAAAAGGCGAGAAAGTGCTCAGAAAAATAGCCAGTAATGAATGCCTTTAAATCACCAAGAACTTTTAATTAAAGTCACCATACAGACAGTACAATAGATATTTGTTTTCACCTTTGTGTGCTGAACGTTTTCCTTTAAGCTACGTTAAACATAAGCCAGACCTCTGCTGTAATCGGAGCTTTATTGCTATTCATTTACGTTTTCCTGCAGCAGGGCTACCTGTTGCACGCCAATTCATTACTGTTAAAATGGTCAAATATATATATTTTTTTATTTATATATATATATACTTTTTAAAAGGTTAATACATTGCTCAAGCTCTCAGTAGATTTGTCTTTTTTGGACTCCTCTTTACATCAGTTTAATTACACAAAGATGTGTGTGTATATATATATATATATATATGGGTGTGTGTCTGTGTGTTCACATGTTTCCCCCTGTTTCTCAGGGAAGGATAATGCCCGGGGTCAGGGCAGAGGGGGTTTTGTGGGGGGTTGTGTGTGCCTGGAAGCTATTTCCTGGCCTGACAGCTGAACAGAGTCAGCTCTGACTGTCTCTCTCTCTCAGGATCTGGGGGCTGTTTATCTCCAGGATGTCAATAATGTCATGTCATCCTACACGGAAGGCGAGAGAAACATGCAGGCAGTCCATTACAACATGTGGATCAATGAATCAACACACTGCTCTGACACTGCTGCCCCCTAGTGGTGCTCAGGACACAACGCCGCCATGATGAACTACTTGTCTATTCTCATGTATGATTGACAGATTCCTGTTTGTCTCCGTGTTTACAGGTGTGTACATACTGATAGCTGTTGGGGCTGTGATGATGCTTGTGGGCTTCCTCGGTTGTTACGGTGCCATTCAAGAGTCTCAGTGCCTGTTGGGAACAGTGAGTATCTTCTGTTTAAATTAATTCATTTAGGATCATTTGAGTCTGAATACATGAATAATTGTTCCTTATTTTCTTTCTTTAGTTCTTCTTCTTCTTGGTGATCCTCTTTGCTTGTGAAGTGGCCGCAGCAATGTGGGGTTTCATGAACAGGGACACAGTAAGCAACGCAAACACAAGCCTGCTACTGAATATTTGATGTGTACATTGATTTCCACCTCTGCTCCAGTGAACCTGCTCTGTTGTCTCTGAAACACAGATTTCCAAAGAACTGATCAACTTCTACGACTCCGCCTACATCAAAGCTGTGGACGTCTCAGGGTCTCCCAGCAAAGACTCTGCCATCAAGGTGCTGGATGCTTTCCACACTACGGTACGTCATGATGCACAATCACTCAATATATATATGAGCGATACAAATCTATTTGATCGTGTATGTTGTAGAGTAAGTGACCTCTTGTTTCTTTGTGTCCCCTTCAGCTCGACTGCTGTGGTAAAGGAGACAACACCGCTCTCTTCAAGCAAGTCGCCAGCAGCTTGTGTCCCAGAAAGTCTACAGTAGATTTTTTGAAATCTCAGGTATAAATTCTTACTAAAGCTCACAATGAACACAATACCTGGGAGAGAAATGTTCTTCACTGGAAATAGTCTGCCATCCTTGGAATACAGAATAGACATGAAATATGACTTATGTACATATCATTTATTAGCATCTTTAGAAAGAGGGAGAATTATACAATTCAGGTTTTATGAAATTTGAACTTGAATTTAACCAGCGTTGACTCGGAGTCAAAAAGGAATGGGCTGTTTAGACCCACTGTAGTGACTGATTTGCGCAACTAGCCACTCGGCTAGGTGCGGGAGAAGATCCTGTTCTTTACTCGCTACAACAAAGAGATTCGAGGCGTTTCACACTTTTGGGTGAGGTTCCCGTTTAATTAGTGTTCACAGATGATATACAATACTATAGCACTTATCTTTCTGGTCTCCCTCTGGTGTGTCTGGCTTGTGGTAAAAACCGTGCGATCTCTAAATTAGACCATTTGGGCGTCAAAGTGGGAAACAGAAATCCTCCCTTGGAATCTTGTCATGCCTTGTCAATACCCATGCCTCATTACCTGTCAGTCGCACCTGTGCCCCATATATTAATTACCGGCCACAATACTCCACACTGCCACCCGTGGTCAACCTGAGATAGGTTCCTAATTCAAACATATAATACACAGACATAACTAATGGCTCCTACACCCACTTTTAGTGTTGATTTTCTTCATAACTTTTGGGTGACGTGTTGTCAGTTGTCCAAAACTATGTGCATTTGACACTCAAAACTGCAAAGGATGCACATATTATTAACAATCAGTAATACATAGTGACATTTGCATTTAAGAAGAGAAGAGTTCACAACCATACTTACTTTCGGTAAATAAACACTAATATAAACAATAACACCAACACTGGGTCCAAATAACACACTGTCTTGGTGGTTTTCTGCCTGTGGATACTGGGTGAAGTTTCAAAGAAGAGGGACTAAGTGTGCGCACCTCCAGGCAAAGATACTCACATGCCAGACAAAACTATACTTAACTGGCACAAAATAAGTCTACACGCTTTTAGACTCCAAATAAATATCTTATTTCTCTTTTTCTCTTTTTAAGGCAATGTTTTAATCTGTAATATCCTCCTCAGGCAAGTGTTAAAGCTGTTTGCTCACACCAGCAGGTGATAATGATTTGAGTTGATTACTGCCTCTGCAGGAAATACCTGTTTTTCTCTTTCAAACTTACCTGAGAAAGATCTTACAGATCGAAACATTGCTCAGTGTTGTGTCGGTGATATATTGACCCAAAGTACTAAGCGCTAAATACTTTTATTCTCTCCGACTCCTCGCTGGTATTTGTGTTGCTAATAGATAACATGGTACATAATTAATTATTCAGAATTGTGCGGTCAGAAGCAGCTGATATCGAGCCACTTGTTTTGACAGCAGACGTGCTCCTTTACATGAAATCCAGCATTTAAATAAAATATTAACTAATTCACAGTTGGACAACAAGAAAAATAAAATCCATCAATATTAGATAATATTACATGTGTGTGTGCGGTTTGAGGGGTGAAAACTTAATCACAGCGGCATGGTCAACGTCTGTACTTGTGCCTCCTTCCAGAGCTGTCACAGTAAACTGATCGAGCTGTTCTCGGAGAAGCTCTACCTGATTGGTCTGGCTGCTTTAGTGGTTGCTGTCATCATGGTGAGTGAAAATGCAGATGGATATTTCACACAGCTGTGATGCGGCTCAAGTCAAGATAAAACGTATTGAATTAAGCCGCTCCGTCCTTTTTCCCATTTAGATCTTCGAGATGATCTTCACCATGGTGCTCTGTTGTGGCATCCGTAACAGCCCTGGAGTATATTAGGAGACCAGCCAACAAGCAACATCAGCCTTTAATGGATTTTTTAATTATGTGTTTCTATGCATCAGCTTTTCTTCCTTATGATTTTAACACAACAAGATGGATGTCTTTCTTTTTACTCTAGATTAGAAAATGCAACTTGTTCATGATATTGCTAATCCATAAACGCTCATCGTTCTTACACAATGATTTAGACGTTCTTTATTTATCACACAACACTTCATATGAATTTTTTATACATGCGATATGTTGTGAAATATTTCTCTGAGGTCATAATGTTGTTTTTATGGATGTATAAATTGTATATATACTTGTCATATGTTAATAACACTTAGGATAGTGCATGTATTCCCTGATTGTTTGTTTGTGATGCATCTCGCTGCAGTGTTGGTGTTAAAATATAATTTAAGCAGCAGGGTGTCAGTGGTCTAAGGTGATGTACTGTCTTACTCTAATGATTATCAGATGACGAGTTAGCCTGTGTTTGTTAGTCGACTGTGTGTCTCTTCTTTGTGCCTAATGGACCATCTTCATGCTCTCTTTCCTTTATTAACTTGTGAAACACCCATCCTTAAATATACAGTTATGTCTTCTTACTCAACCCGTTTTTTTCAGTTCAGTCAGAGAGGGATATTCACTCAATGAATTGAGAGAAGTCAGGAAAATAAAAGTATTTTGTGTATCCAAATGAGTTGGACTTTTTTGTTATTATTTCCTACCATCTCTTGACCTACTAGAATCATATTGTGAGCCCCTGTAAGGGTCAAGACCCCCACTTTGGGAACCACTGCACTACACAGATGTTTTCTTTCTTTCGTTCACTGTGAGATTGTTTTAAATAGGACCTTGAAACACATACTGTATAAGCTTTCTATTTGACAATACGCAATCTGTACGACAATCTGTCTTCCGCCTGACACTTAAACTTTCACTCAACAAGCCTAAAATTATTTTTTTCCGTGAGTCACCACAGCGAGGCAGTGTGCTGTCAAAGCTCCTCTTGCTCAATTGCCACAATCTGTCGCCCCTGCAGCACTTTGAACACATTAAAAACTCATCTGACTTGTATTTCTGGCACTGTGGCAGCGGACACACCCAGAACGCTCTGTGTGCGTTTAGCCAACAGGTTTAATTTCTCATTGGAGAACACGCTGATGTCATGGTTTTTGGAATCAAACCAAATTATTGATAAATGACGCAGTACCTAAAAAGGAGACATCCTCTTATTTTCTCTGTTTCTATGATATTCTTTCTTATTAGAAACACCTCTCGCTTCTCTGTAAAACGCATTGCAAGTCAACAGCAGCACAAAATCCAAAACCAACACCTTTCTAAAATATTTTAACTAATGTTAACATTATAACCTCAATGAAGACAGAAGTTATTGCAGGACAGCTAGATGTACCCATGTACCAAATGTCCCTGGTGATGTATAAGAGCAACGTCAATGTTTGAACATAAAGTTAATCTTATCCAAATATCAAGTTTGTATATCAAAACGACTCATGAGTTTCTTTGCTCGTGAGCAAAGAAATTGCTGTCGAATGGAAAAGAGGTTGGAGGGCTGCGGGTCCGTGTCCAGGGCCAAGTGCTTGTTAATTTAATTTGAGACTTGCCTATATTATCATTTTAAATAAGTCTAGAATAATAGTTTATATGCTCATATGATTTGTGTGTAAATATGTAATCTGGAGAATTTACCGGGACTGGTGAGGCAGTATTAGCGGGTGAGAGGAGAGCCAGGGCTCTCAAAGTGTGAGAGGCTCCACATCCAGGGGTGCGTGGACACTGGAGGACAGCCGACAGCGGGCATTCGGCCGTGGGCACCCCGCTGACCTCCCGCTGGCTAGCCGCGTGGCTATATCCCTCACACCCTGTGCAGCCTTCAGCAAGCATCACTATGCCCTGCTCCCCCACCAGAGAACCAGAGAGAGGTCGGCGGGTCCAAGGTATTGTGGAGGGGCTTTACTCCGAAAACGTTAAAATACATTTTAAATTGGACATACATTTTCGTAAAACTACTAATATCAGAAGTGAATTCAATGATGAAATAGCAAATCAAAATTGTTAAATGTTCGGACCAGGTAGCCTATCTTCAGACTACGAGAACAAAAGCTCTCTTCCTGGGCCTGTTTACTTCGTGGTGCCGGTTAGCATTAAAATTAGGCTAAGGTTAGCATTTAGCAACGGCCTGGAGGGATACAGCCAAGCAGACGCAGGGTAGGGGCAGGTCGTAAGAGCGCCATGCCAATTAGTTTAGACTCTGCCACATATAACCAATTGCCTGTAAATTCAGGACCCGAGTCAATCTGAGTGGCCGAGCACATCTGGTACCTACAGGGGCATCTTCCCTGGGTTTGGGGGGGATGCCCTTTTACAAGATTTTACAATTTATTTTATGATAAAGTTCTAGTCAGTAGTCTATTTTGTTACCTTATACATGTGTTTACTTGGGCATACTGGTATACATATTAATATCCAAATTACATTTATATTAAAATATCTATATGTGAAAGAACTCTTTGCAGCACTTTATATTTTGGCATCACTCGTCTGATGTTTACCCTCATGTTCTGATTTGGGCCATGAAGACACTTGGCCCTCTATAACAGCTCGAAATACATACTAAATATATTCATCCTCTTGATTATTTTATATTTTTCTTCTTTTATGAGAAATTTGGCACAGAAAAAGAACAGAGTTACTTAATTTAAGGCTGCAAAACATGGTCAAATACAGTGGGTTTTAAATGCTCTATACTGTGATTGGTGTTCACAGTACTTTTTATGAAACATACCTTAAACCTAAAAAAAAAAGTATATTTGGAGGTCTAACAAAGAGATAACTGACTCCAAACATAAGTAACAAAAAAATATACATTTTTTTTTATATTTAGGGCATAACTATAAAAAATGAAATATTTCCTTGGGTTTAATAACGATGCTTTATAAGTCGTGTGCTGTCTTGCGTCTCTTTCAGTGGGGTTCTTTTACATGTCTGTGCCCAGGGACCTATTGTCTCATAATCCGTCTACTGAAACCACCGTGTTTGTGTCTCTTTCTACGTTTAAAAAAATCCTTTTACTTAATATTATTTTGTAGTAATATTTTTATAATGTAATGTTTGAGTGACCACCTACTTTACGTCATGTAGTGTATCTTCAGACATTACATCACAGAAAGACGGTTGGCTCCTTACGCTCGAGACGTTAGACAGAGCAAGGGTGTCACTCTTGCTCCCTGGTGCAATCACTTTCTCTGACGCACACACACACACACACACACACACACACACACACACACTAACATTCACACACTGATCTGAGTCAACCTTTAGGCTGATGTCTGTCACTCTGTCTCTCTCTGAACTGGGCTGGGAATCCAGTAAAACAGCTGCTCGGATGCTCTAAACTGTTTCGACTGAGTGAGTCATCAATGAAATGTTGCAACATGCAAAAAAAACAGCACTGATGTTAAATCACACGCCATTAATAAAATGTATTGTGCAAAATTATAATTCAAAACCCTCCCACAGTTACATTTTCGTTAGAAAAGAAATAGCTTTTTTAGTAGAAAAAAGCTATTTTTTCTATCTGTTTTCCTATTTTTTAATCGCAACTGAAATAGAACTTGTCTTTCTGACTCGTCCTTTTGGTCAGTCAGACTGTCACAGTCAGACTGTCGTCTACACACCCTGGGGTGTCAACCTCTCATTTGACTCATCTCTTTGTTTTTGCATACCTGCAAAGGAAAGTGTTATTGTGAATTTGAGGGCGGTGACTGTGGCTATATCTTTTGATACTTTCTAATATCCCACCAGATCAGATCACTCGGTGCACTTCATCACAGAGGAGAACATCTACAATCGATCACAGCATCCATGGTAATGGTGAGTCAAAATATGTGATTTAATTTTTCATATTTATACAAGATTGATCTTTTTTTTGCATCTGTTTTGAATAATCAAGTAAAATGAATTTCACTGAGAACGTTAGTTACCATCTCAGACTCCCTGAGACATTAAGTGCCGGCTTGTGAAGCTGTGATTGATTGTTTCTACTCACAAACATACAATGAAGGGGAAGTCAGTGTGAACAGATTTGGAAGGACTGTGAAGAAATATGTGCAAAAGTAAAAGATGATTTTTCAGTTAAACACGGAGCAGATGAGCAGAGGAAGGATGCTTCTATAGATCTGCTTCTGCATCCGATTCAGTGTAAACAAGGGAAATGATTGGCTGATTGAATAACCTTTAGAAAGACTGCGGTTCATCTTTTTCTGCTCAGATGCACCCAAACAAAGGAAGGCAGGCAGAAAATAATCATAGTCAGAATCAGCTTCTAATAAAGATTAGAAGAGATATTTATTCATACTTGAGTCCATTTAGAGGTGTTTAATCTGCTCCAATGGTGACTTGTTCTAGCCTCACAGGTAGATGCAGACATGCAGCATGTATCATGTACTCTTCCCACGGTTTCTATTGCTTTCATATTGGCTGCAGTGACTCACAGTTGCTAAGCTCAAATACAACAAACCAGATAAAACAAAGGTGTGGCTCCACCTTAATAATAGAGTGAGACTGTGCCACACCTTGTTACAGTCCTCCATTCATACCTAAAATCAAGATTAAACCTAATATCAGGTACATGTGTTAAAACATCATTGACTAAACTCTCTAACTACGTAAAGCTCAAAGGCCTTTACTGCTGCATACTGAAGCATAAAGTGCATGCGATGTACCTGTATTTACCTAATTATTACAGATTCAAAAAGATAAGCAATTTCCTTGTTGAATAAACTAATATATAAAACTAAACAGCCAGTGGTGGAAGAAGTAGCAATACGACAGTGTAAAAATACTCTAAAAGTGCTGGTAAAAGTAAATTGAAGCATAACAATATACTTAAAGTAGTAATACAAATTTAAATACTCATTATGCAGAATGGCCCATTTCAGAATAAAACATGTCACTGGATCATAACGGGATTCAAACCCGCTGGGGTAAATGTAGAAGAGTAGAAGTAGCCTATAGCATAAAACGTAAATACTCAAGTAAACCTCAGAATTGAACTACTTACTTACATTACTTGTATGTATGTTACATTCCACCACTGTAAACAGCAGAATTGTAACACTGGATGGCATGTGTTATCATAGTGTTAATGAATAAGCCCTGTCCTATTTAACTCCGTTATTAACTTGGATGTGACTCCACTTACCACAGGTATTTGACCTGGTGTATCCACACTGCCATTTCCTGTTGAACTCTGTTACATGATGGATTTTAATTTCTAATCTATTTTAATGGTGATGTTACATTCATGTATTTAACTATTTTTTTAAATGTAACTTTACATAAAAAAATCTACTTAATGTTCCATAAAAGTTTATTTTAACAATGTTTACATAACACCATTGTTTTCAGGTCGTCTGTTAAAATTAAATAGGTAATGCAAGGAGAAACAACTTAATTAATATTATTACTGAGTAAGAACATTATCAGGTATTTTCCAATTGAATAAACCCTCACAAACATTTTGAAGTCCATTTTAAAGCCATACTTTTTTATAATTTCTAATTGAGCTATCTTTGGCAGATGCAATCATAAATGCTAAGCTACATTGTTTTTTGTTGTGTGTTTTTTTGTGGAGGACAGACAATTGCTATATGGTTTTATGAGAAGACTAATTATACAACTTAAAAAAATAAAAAAACAGAGAGACTAATTCCAGGAAGTTATGCAACGCTTAGGGACTGCCGTAAAACCCCAAAGAAGAAGAAAAAGAGCACCTGCGAGTCAGGTAGGTGCTGTGGTCTGGGTCCACTGACTCTGAGGCTCCACCTCCTGCTGATGTTCAGCTCTCTCTGAGCGCCTCTCTCGTGCGCCTTTCAGACACTTTCAGTCGCGCAATCAACCTGCCCGCACCACGGTTTCTTTCCTGGCGCCCAACTTGCGTCGTCTTCTTAACTTTACACCATGAGTGTTGTGACCTCAGAGAACGTGTTTTTGTCCGCTATACAGCCGAACACCTCCGTCACCACGTATGGACTCCCGTCCGAGATCCAGCTCGGGAACGGGGGCACCATGTCGGACGAGATGACCAGAGCGCGGCGCGTGAACCAGCAGGTCCAGATGAGAATGGCGGAGAAGTCCACACTTCCGCGTCAGAATGGATTGGCCTCGCAATACGCCACGTCAGGTAAACATAAAACAGTGTTTTACATTGTATCACTTTCACGAGGAGCTGTGCTGGCTGTATGTTCTGCTTCATGAAAGTATTTCCGCGTGAAGAGCGCAGCATGAGCTGACAAGTGACTTGAGCTCAGTAGGTAAATCCAGTCTGAGCCCCCACAGGTTCAGGTGAAGGTGTCTGACATTATAGTGCTGGGTTTATAGCCTAATGATAACATATCACTTATCTGTTGATTGGGAATTGAAACTCGTATATCTTCAGTCAGACCTGTTTCCTTTGGCCAATACTCAAAATCGCTGAAATAACATGTTGGGTGGGTTTTTGGATTGGGCTCCAGTGAGGAACTGCGATATTAAGCATCAATTCTTGCTTTAAACATTACTTACCAATTGTTGCCTTTTGTTTCAGCTACAACAAAAGTTTTTGTTTATGTTACGATAACCAATTTCAGTATTCCAATTTCAGTATTCCATATCAGAGTAGTTTTTACCTGCGACGAGTGTGCATGCATCAATACACCAATACACCAGGTGTGTGTGCGCTGTTTTTTTCTGCATGTTTGTCCCTGTTGCATTCCTGTGGGCCGTGTCAGCTCATCTGGGAATTTGTCCACTCAGCTGCTCAGCAGAAGAAGCTGAAGCCTCAGCGGTGATCTTACAGCTCTGTATGAGGTGAACGTGCACATGAGAAAGGGTTAATGTGTAACAGGCTCAAACAAAGGCTGCTTTCATGAACTTCCCTGATAGCAGGCCAAGGTGAAAGCCTCCCTCTGTGGGATTGGGTTTCAGGTCTTACTCAGCTTTAAGAGGTGAGGGTTGAAGAGATACCTGAGAGATGGTTGTGTTGTGTTATCTGTTCAAAGCAGACGCATTGTCAAAAGGTGTCTGTCTGAGTCGTCTTGGCACGCAGACAAAGTCAGCCAAGGTGGGATTGTTATGTAAGCAGCAGGGAGACTCCCTCAGATGAAATTAAAAGTTTCCAGTACCTTTTTGATGCATAGTGACATTTCCTTCCCGTCTCATAATTGACTGCAGGGAACAGCTCAACATCAGCTTCTTGTGCTTATGGCCTTTGGCATTCTGGGTTGTGAGGAGGAATCTTGTTCTCACTTGTCTGGGTTGAGCATTTCCCCAGTAGGCTAACTGTCTCAAAAGAAACAAAAACATACTGTTCGTGCCGCTTTAAATTCGGGAATTCAGAGGGACATACATGTCTGCTAAATGAGTCGCTGTCTGTTCTTTACCTCCATTATGTTTGTCAAAGACTTCAGCCTGACATGTATGAAAAACTAGGCTGAGCTTGATTTTGTACACTGTTCTCTCTGCCTGTCTTTTGCCCTGTCCTTTGCCGGCAGTAAAACAAACAGTCACAAAATGCTGCCACGTCATATTCATCGTCTTTTGAAACCTGTACAAGAGGCAGAGAAGAATTGCTAACAACACAACAGGGAATGCTGCCATTTTAGTGGTTTGTGGCTTCAGAAGAGCTCATTATGAATGAACGCACACATGAGGAGAGCACCCAGAGGATTCTGCAAGGAATGCCTCCTCTCCTGTATTTAAATGCTAGTCCATGTATGGACTAATTTGTGTTCACAAATGGGCAAGTCTCGGCAGAAGGTGAGAGCAGATAATAATGTGTTCTGACATTTTGGCTTTATGAACAAAGTCATTATTTCAAAAGACAACAGATGACAAAAAAAAGGTGTGTTTTCTGGGTGCTGCAAAGGTGTGTTGGGCGTTGCCGAGTTGGCACTTTCTCTTCTACACCAACTGGTTTTGTGTGCGTGTGCGTGTGCGTGCGTGCGTGCGTGCACTACACTCACACACTCGTGCGGTTAAAGTCACGCACGTGAACCTGTCTTTGGTATTTGATAATGTTTCTTCATAATTATTTAGGTATTTTTTCCCGGCAGATCAGGTCGTTAGGTGTGCTTGTTCCATCGAGACAAAGAGTTTAGTCAGTTTTGAATCGTTATCAGTGCACCCGGAGCATTGGCTCGAGCCTCGTGTCAGAACATGTTGCACATCTTCAAACACTGAATGCTAGCAGTGTGGCTGTAAAAATTGTAGTCAGTCCATTGGATTGCAATGACATTGTTGTACAGTGTTCATGGCAAAGAAATGTGTGTTTTCGTTTAAAAATCAACAGGATTACATTTTAATTGTTTCCGTGATTGTGTTGTTATCTGCAGTAACATTGTATTATTTATGGGTTAGTCTTAATGATCACTTGACACAACTAACACCATTAAAGGTGTTCTTCTCCGGTATTATCAAAATAGCCAACATTGTTCTGCTTCTACGTGATTACAAAATGACATTAATCAGTGTGTTGAGAAATGTAAAATGATGAAAAGTAGATGATGAATTTCAAATGGGAAAAATGCAACTCCCTACATTTGTCATTGCTGAAAGGTCACAACAAGTATAAAACAAAAATAGGCATTTGTCAGCTGAGACTACTTCCAGAATAAAGACAAATGGAAACTCTCTACTTGCAAAAAGTGAAACCATTTATCACCACTTCTGATGCATACATTTCAACAAAAGTGCACACAGAACAAAAGATGAACAGAGTAGCTCTCACACTACATTCAGATGTGTGGGCAACACATTTCAAGCACAACGAGACGGCACTTTTTCCAATCAAAGAGCTTCCATTTGTTTTTGTGTTGTTTCTGCCTGGACGTGTTTAGAAGCCAGCCACAGGATAAAAGCATCAACTCTGCCGTGATGTTTTAGTCATCAAATCCCCATAAAGTGCTGATTTTTTTTTTTTTTAAAGTAAATTTTTATGTACCGTAATTTAAAGAGGTGACAAATAGACTGCTTGTTGTTATACATGTTGTAATCATTGCTCCTGCTCATACTGCCGTTAAAATATCTCTTTCTATTGTTGTTTTAAGACTTGAAAAACTGTGAAGCTATCCTTTAAGGCTTGACATGTTAGAAAAAGCAAATACAAGTACAAAGACTTCACTGTATGTTTTAATTAATAGTTTACCTTGTATTGTATTGAAGGTGGAAACCAGTTTTAGTCTTTCAGTAAAGCTTCATTTTATGTGATATTGTTTGTGGTATTCATCTGTTATTCTGTCTCCCTGCTTCCTTCCAGAATACGGCGGTTCTTCTTCAGCTGTGAAATATCAAACCTATAACCCAAACTACAGCTCTAAATCCTCCTACATGTACTCGGGCTCCAGAACAATGGTGAGTACTGCAGCATTATGTCACTGTTTCAGCATCTATTCACACAGGTCATGGACATATCCAGCTGATCATGTAATGTGCCATTTAAACACTTTCACTGACTCTCTGCTGGTGCCACAGTGGGTCACCCAGGACACAGCATGTGTGGTATTTCACAGTACGCTGTGATGAGATCAGCTCAGGGTTTCAAGTCCACCCTCTAGATTCCTCCATTTTAGTGATTCAACAGGAAGCCATTGGCATTGTGCCACAGATGTTTGAGCTCTGAGCTTAAGATAAACCTGAAGCTGCCTTATTGAATTCATCCTGCTTTTCAATGTGTCCATATCTGATATTTGAGTCAATAATAATGCCCTTATCTTCTAAACAAATGTATGTTTGTATGAGGAATGGAAATTAATAGGAAAAAAATACTACCTTTACTTATACTAATACTTACCTTTGTTTCACATCAAATTTAGAAAACATTTTCGGCAATATGCTGTGACTCAAATTCACCCACTCACACACAGTTCATCTGAACTCTGGTTACACATTTAACAGTTACTCCTCTTCCAAATTCTCAGGGTCCACCCGTATCCCAGAGGGCAGGCTTCAGCAGCCAGTCTACTGGTCCAAATATGGCCCAGTTGCACAGGATCAGTGTCGGGGGTGGCAATGTTGTTGGAAGTGTTGGTGGTGGTGGTGGGGGTGGTTTTTACCGAGAAGACATACGCATGGGCGGCTACAAAGGGGCCGCCAGGCAACAGAGCCGAATGGACCCAGAGATCCTCTCCATGCACGCAGTGCGGCAGCATACAGCGCAGGTGAATCCCTGGATGATGGATGCCAGCGATGCCGACAGTATGGTCTCCGACCGTGACGCCACTTTCAACCGCCAGTATGCTCAGAGCGCAGTCAACGGCTACGCTACCCAGATAAGGCAAGGAGGAAGCACCATGAACTTCCCGCCACCCATGCACCGATCTCTTAGTGGCACTCTTTCCCGCGGCGGAGGGATGACGGGCGACGGCGGGATGACGGGAGGAGAGGTGGAGTTCAACCAGCAACATTCCTTCAAAGGCCCAGCCCACCGCACTATCAGCAGGATTACAAACCGAAACCGTACAAGCATGGGCTCCATTTCTGGGCAGCAGATTATGCCAAGTGTGAGCACCTATGGTGGAGGGGGGGACAGAATGGACGGAGGAGGGTTCATCTTGTCCTCTGGTTCCCAGGCGAATCTAATGCAGCAGCGTAAGGGCAACATGTCCCGGGCCATGTCACTCAGAAGCGTGAAGAGTGTGGGCAGGGGCTACGACATCTACGATGGGCAGATGGAGATGGGAAACAGCATGGGCAACCTTAGCGGGTGAGTCACTCAAATGACAACAAAGTCACCCATTCTTTCTGCTCACATTCACAACAGATGTTTTCATTTGCGTGTCCGCAAACAATCAAATCTTCAGTGTGTAATTTAGTGTAGATATATTCTAACGGTACCATCGTCAACAAATCCTAAGAAAAGACTAAAACCAACAATTAACTGATCCTACTAATGAGTATGGTTTGTGGAGGCAAAGCCCGATAAGCAGAAGCTTAATCCTCTGTGCTTAAGAGAGCCTCTGAAAACACAACAACGAGCCACCCTTTTGTACTGACATGTCCCTTCGTTACGAGTAAAATGGGCATGCAGTTTGTCTTGAGTCAGTCCCACATTCACCATCCAGCTGCGGTAGGTACTCACTAGCACACAAAATGTGTCGTTATCCGCTGCTGAAAATGTTTGAGTAACGCCTGCTAAAAAAAGACAAAATTAAACTTGATGTCTCTGTGTATTTTTTAAGCTTCATGTCTTCAATAGGAACAAATGGGTCTGTGCTTGTGAAGCAAAGACAGGGTACAGAGATACGAAAGCATTGAGAGACAGACAAAAACATCATTGCTTCGAGACTTTTCATTGGATTTCTTGACGAAAAGAAAAATACGGAATCATGCCGTCCTTATCCTTTAATTAGTTTAAAATACACAATGACACAGATCAGTGATATTCTAGTGAATGTGATACACCAGTATGATGAAGTCACTGCTTTCATGTGTCAGGAGGTTTTAGTGAGGGAGTGCGTGATATGAGCAGTGTATTTCATAAGAGCTGTGCATTGGGAGGTGGCTCCTTAGTTGCAGGACTGGTTTTGGGTGTGGCAGCTCAGTCCCAGGCCTCACATTTCACACATCCCATAGCGTGTGGTGAGCCAAGCGGATTCACAGAGCACTGTGTGTTTTGGAAGAAATACAACAAGCTGAATTTTTGCAGACAACAAACAAATCATCCATGAATAATTACTGTTGGTTTTCATTCAAACATCCAAAATACATATTTTATAACACCATACATGTCATCAGGGGGCCATAATTGAAATGTTTTCGATTTTTTTTGGTTGAATTTGTTCATTTGCTCCTTCGCTAGGATCACCTCCTTGGACATGCCCACCGCAGTGCAAAACCTGAGAGAGCCCGACAATGAGCTGCAGGTCCTGGGTGCCGCCTACATTCAACATGAGTGTTACAATGACAGCGAGGCCAAAGACGCGGTAGTTCAAACTGATTAAACTGTGTGGTTAGATTTCCTCTGGGTTTTTCTTCTCTGCAGTCCCTGATTGAGAAACTCGGTTGTGAAAATTGTTTTCCTTTAAAAGATGGTTGTTTCTCCATTTCTGGTGTCATAGAGAAGCAGTTGTGTCTGCTCCAGTTCATTTTTATCATCACTGTTAACATACCTGGACTCTGCCCCGTACAGGTGTTGATTGGCAGACATACAATATAGAGATTACATCTCTTATTTTTTGTGACAGGCAGCTTATTTGCTCACAGTTTGGCCATGTGCTTTTAGCTTGTTGAGGTTATCTTTAGCTCTGAGGATGCATCTCTTGTGACTTTGTTTAGAGTCAGTATTTAAAGAGTTTAACAAAATGAGATCCAGATGATTTAATAGTTTGATATTTGGGTAAATAAACACATTTGCTTCCTTGCTGAGAGGTAGATGAGAAGCTTGATACCACTGTTTGTGCAGCAAATCAGCCAGCAGCCGGTTAGCTTAGCTTAGCATAAAGACTGGAAACAGCTGGAGTAACTGGAGTTACCAAAACAGTAAATATCCTAAGCGGAATGTTTTTCCTGCCACTTTGTTTCTAGGTGCGTCACTTGAAGGGCATCGGTGAGCTGGTGAAGCTGTTCAACAGCGACAACCAGGAAGTGCAGCGTTATGCCACTGGTGCCACACGCAACCTCATCTATGAGAACATGGACAACAAGGTGGCCCTGATCGAGGAGGGCGGCATCCCACAGCTGGTCGAGGCACTCAAAGATTCTGATGACGAGCTCCACAAAAACATCACTGGTAGGAGTTGGCAGAGTTGGTCTCAGACTGCATGTTTTGGACTTTTTCCTCGTGTAGAAATTAATGTAAATTAGTTGGTCACAATATTTGGATGCAACATAATCTAGACAGCAGTGTCCTTGAAATTCTTCGAGCAAACAGTAGCCTTTGAGATTGATATTATTTAGCAGCAAACAAACAGGAGGACGGTGGCAAGCTGTAGCTAGTCACTTTTACAAGAATCCGCAGATTATGAGCATTTACTGTAACTGAATTAAAGTTTGAGATCGTTTCGTAATTTCAGAGGAGATGTGAGAGATGTTCTTTTATTCAGTAGAGTGTTGTTTTTCAGTACTCGACATTAATGTTAGTTGGTGATTCACAGTTCAAGTCTACATAGGTTTCCAGTTGACTCAGCCCCCTCACCCTTCAGCACTCATACATTCTCACACGTTCATACGTTCATTATTCTCAATTATCTGCTGTCAGCAGAACCGGCAAACATACTTTCTCATAAAATGAACGCTGAAATTTAAAAAAGCGATGTTGCAAGAACTTCATAGTGTGGAGATTTGTATGACATGTAGTGCATCTGAGTATGCAGAGTCAAAGGTGGATGAGGTGGAGCTGCAGGCTTTTATATAGGGTGTGTGAGAAGGAGGGATAAAGGAGTGTGTGGGAGTTGTCTGGGCCTGTCAACAGTATATCCACTCCCTTTATGACTGATGGCCTTGACACGCTTTCCTTTGAGCCGTTACATCTTGATATGTATCAGCTGGGTCAAAGGGGGAATAACTGTAGTTGTGCACCTTTTTTTGGGTAGTCTGCCAAAATATCTGGTATTGTTCCTGTCGGAGCAGGAGCAATACCAGACAGAGATGTCCAAGTTCAACATTTTGGGAAGTACACTTGTTTTTTTCCTTGCGTTGAGTTAGATCAGAAGATTGATACCACTCTGTGTGAGAGTGGTATCAGTCTTCTCATCTAACTCTCAGCAGGAATGCGACTAAGCCAACTTACCAAAATGTCTTCAAGGAACACGGTGTTATAACAGCACAAATTTAAAATAGTATCCATAACTGCATTTTAATAAGTGTATAATCACCTGAAACTAAGAATAATTGTGATTTTCTTACCTTAGAATGAGCTGTTATATCTACAAAGAGAGCAGGTCCTCTTCATGGAATCCTCCACGTTGCACTGCCATGTTTCTACAGTAGCCCAGAACGGACAAACCAAACGCTGGCTCTCTAGAGAGTGCCTTTTGAGTTTTTACATTACCTAAAAACCACCGTAGTTCTCCGACACACTTGGGTTGTTCAGTTGGATGCAATCTGCCACCTTACCACTAGATGCGACTAAATCCCACACACTGCTCCTTTAAAACTGAGGTTACTGTAAAATAACGGTAATCTCCAAGATTGAAGTTAAAATGTCCAATATTAAACATTAAATAAGCTACATACATATGCAACATGAAGCATACATGTCAGTTTTGTTGACTGTCCACTGGTGTGTATGTGTGCAGGTATCCTGTGGAACCTTTCATCCAAAGACAACCTGAAGGAGAAACTGGCCAGGGAGACACTTCATGAGCTGACTGACAAGGTCCTCATCCCTCTGACAGGCAGTGGAGAATCTGAGAGCATCCAGCAGTCTGCCTCTGAGGCAGACATCTTCTACAACACCACAGGATGCCTCAGGTGCATCTCACATATCCATGTCTTCTCTCTGTGGTTGCAGCATGCTCCTTTGTTAAAATACATTTCTGCATCTGCTTTTTCTCCCATGATCATATTTGCATTTTGGGAACTTGTTCTGGCAGGACACACGTCAAGCATCAGCTCACAGCCATTGGAGCATTTAGCATACCCATCACTTTTTACTTTTGTTTACAAAAGCCTGCATCACTCCAGCCTCCAGATGCTTTGGCTCGGCTTTGTTTATGTGCGCACTGGAGGGTGTTTATCTCCAAATGAATCACTACTGTTTTTGTTTTTTTTGCAATGCTCTCTGCATTATATTTATCATGCAGCAAAGTGCAAGGAGTAGAAACTCACTCCGAAGCCAAACTGTACGGCATTCTCTATTTGCACCCTCTGGTTGACGTAAAAACATGTATTATTCATGATTTTACCTGAAATATCTCTCTGACCACACCCTCTGTGTGTGCTCAGGAATATGAGCTCTGTGAATGAAAAGACCCGTCAGCAGATGAGAGAAACACATGGACTGGTGGACTCTTTGGTGACCTACACCAAGGCCTCCCTTGATGACAGCAAGACAGAAGACAAGGTGAGACAAGACCAGATGGAGCTGAATTCAAGCTGCTGTTTCACACCAAGGCTTGTGTATTTATTTGTCTGTGTGTGTGTTTTTCTTAGGGGCTGGAAAATTCAGTGTGTGTCTTGAGGAACCTCTCCTACCAGCTTTACAGTGAGATGCCTCCATCTGCTATGATGCGCCTGGAAGGACCAACCAGAGGTCAGGACTCAGGGAAGGGCGAAGCCATTGGTTGCTATACGCCTCAGAGCCGGAAAGCCAAAAATGTAAGCATACGTCAGATTTATCCCTCAGCTTTTTGTGTGTACAGACCAGATTCATTTGTCTCAACAATGTCTCCTTGTCTCTTCCTTCCCCTGACAGAGAAAGAACCAGGATCTCTCCACTTTCACCGAGGTTGCTCGGGTGCCAAAGGGCGTGGAGTGGCTGTGGCACCCACAGATAGTGGGGGTGTACAAACGTGTGCTGCATGATTGTGAGATCAACTCCACCACCCGCGAGGCAGCTGCCGGAGCGCTGCAGAACATCACAGCTGGAGACAAGAGGGTAAGCAGCAGAGTTTTCAGTTCGCCTGTAAAAAGTATTCAAATGCAACGATCTTTTATAAGTTTGTCTAATATTTACTTTGTCCCTCTTTGTCCCTGCAGTGGGCTTCTGTGCTGAGCCAGGTGGCTCTGGAGCAGGAGCGCATACTGCCAGTGCTGCTGGACCTCCTGCGTACCAGCAATGATCTGGAGCTGCGTTCTCTCACAGGCCTCCTCCGAAATCTGTCCCGCCATGCCAAGGATAAGAATGACATGGGTCAGTTCTTTTTTTTTTTTTTTTTTTTTTTTTTTTTTAAATCCTTGTTAGATATAAATAACATTATGCTCTGAGCTACCTGTTAACAGAGTATACTTTTAATAACATAATAAAATGTGTTGTTTTATCACATTTTAGACTAATTCCAGTAATGGTCTAAAATACTTTTCTCACCACTGTTGTCCTGACCTCATGATATTAATGTTAAAACGTAAATAGCACTGAGATGATAGCATTTAAATTTAACTTGAAAAGCATTCATCGGAATTTATGTGGTATTCCTTTTTGGAAATTTAGTTAGTTTACGTGCAAATAAAAAAATTAATTCTACAGGACTGATAAATTCAGATCAGTCAAATGTTGATTGAATAATTCAAGTCAAGTAAAAGAATAATTTAGGTTAAATTCAGACACCAAAATCTAAGATATCCAGGATAAACAAATAAAGCCTGAATGGAATTAAGCAATCATCTTGTCTATAACATTAAATTTGAATAATTAAAAAGTGAAAACCAAAACAAATAGCAGAATATCTATTTGAACTTTGGCGTAAATGTGTGTTCATGCAGGATCCCATTGCTAACGGGAATTATCTGATTGTAAATATAAATCTTAACCATGCTTCTTGTTTTATTCAGCTACAAAGGTGGTGAACAACCTGGTGACCAAGCTGCCTGATGATGGACACCAGAAGACGCCCTCCTGCGAAGTGACGGTCAACATCTGTGGTGTTCTCAATAACTTGGTGACCAGCAGCTCTTTAGCTGCCAGAGACATCACCTACTTTGATGGCCTGAAAAAACTGAGCGGCATCAAGAACTCACATGACAACAGGTGAGCGGTTAAAGTGGAATCGATTCAACATGCCGAACTAGTTAATTGTGTACTTATCCTGATACAGACATTTGCACATTTTCATGACATTTGATGTTAAATGTTACATAGAATATTGCTGCCTATCTTCTGAAACAAGGTTATTTGTACCAAGCATTAACCTTGGATGAATCTGTTTTCACTAGCTCTGGGAAGATAAGAGCGGCCAAAGCGGCAGCCACCGTTCTCAGCAACATGTTCCAGTACAAGAAACTGCACAGAGACTACAAAGAGGTAATAGACTGAAATCGAGCTCTGCATGATCAAAGAAAACTGAGATCATCAATCAATCAATAATACAGCAAAGATAAAGCATCAGTTTTGAAAGTAGTTGTTTTCTATAAGTCTATTGTGAGTTTCAGCAGCGTTTTTTAAGTGTTACTAATACCCCGATACTTTAGAAAGGATCATAATTAAAGTTATTGTGTATTATTGAACCATCAAATAACACAGGAGCAGATTTTAAACATAATAATTATGCTGAAAACACAGATGGCACTGTTATAGAATCACTTTAACAATGTCTTTGAGCATTACCAGCTTATATCAATGTATGACTATACTGCACTTTACATTGAGGGACTTAAAACTGTTCTCCTCACACAGTATTATTACTATATTTAATTCAGTATAAAAAATATATGAAAGACACACCACAATAAAACATGAGTAACTTTGTGCATATTTTTAAAATGACAGTTTACTCAGTTCAGTACAGAAATCTCTTTCTCAAGCGTCTCCTGGCCTCTAACACGGCAAGAACAACAAGTTGGATTCTGTATGTCATCTGCCGATCAAAAGTCAAAGCTCAGTGGAAACGGTTTCTCTTCATGGCGCCCCACCCTCATTCTTATATCTGTGTGTTTGTGCCTGAGCGCGAAAAAGTGTGTGTGTGTGTGTGTGTGTGTGTGTGTGTGTGTGTGTGTGTGTG